AACTAAAATTTGACCCTTCTGAAGTTCACCTGTAATTATAGTCTTCTCATTTTAATTGTGTTGCCAGCATTATTTCAGTAGTGAGGCTGAAATTACTCTGGGTTGATGCTTTTCAGGTCTGAACTGTAAGTTACAATTCAAGCTAATAATTTTTATGCTCTATTTTAGCAAATGCTCATCAAGAGGTGCAGCATATTATAGATTAAACGTGTTGAAGTAACATAAAATCCTAATTAACATTTTAAAATATTATGAACAAAAAAATTAAATTCCCAAATTATCGTAGTTTAATATGCATTGTGAATGTATTTCCCATCTTATTTTCTTCAATATCATGGCCAAAATGCTAACTTTTGTTGGAGGCTTTCATTAGTGTTGAAAACATTAAGAACAGCACAGCAGTTTGATCTTTGCTCATATTACTGAGTTTTCATTGTGCTGTATTGTTACCATTTATGATGATTATGATGTAGGATGCTTAGATGTTACATAATTTGAAATGCCTATATGTAACTCTGCATGAACAGAAAGAGGCTCCATCATTGGTAACACTTAGGAAAAAGGAAGATAATTTGATTTGCTGTTTTTTTTCTCTAGATGGGTTCAGCTTTGTTTAATTTACTGCAAATACAAGCATCCGAATTCCAAACTGAAGTCATGGAGCCCTAAGATACACCGTTACAGGTTGTCATCTATCTTGTCTTGATCTTGTGAAAGGCCTCAACTTCAGTTTATATTTCCTGGATTTTTAAAACATTTTCCCTTGTTTGCTTTACAAAATAGTTATTAAATCCACTCATTTGGAGGCTGACTTTGAGGTCATTGATTACTTTTCAGGTTTTGCTTCATTCTCTTATTTTCAGTAAACTATTCACACAAATCTAATGCTGGCAAAAGATATGTTAGCTTCATCCTGTATCCGCTAATGAAGAAAAGGCTACCCTATAGGATCACCTTATGTTGATGGGTGGGTGTGGGTGCGTGGGTATGTGTCCATGCATGTGTGTGTGTTAGTGTGTGGAAAGAAAAAAGTAGTATACTTCCTACTAGTGATTTGAGGCCTGACCTTTCCAGGGCAGTTCCTCCTTTGTTTTTAAGGCTGGCTTATTAAAAACAGATCCTTAGAGATGTTACAGATAGGTGGTGGTAGTAAGGAAATAGCTCAAATCAGTAATCATGAAACTAAGGTAGTACAAGGTATAAGGTTGAGCTGGAGAACAGAAAGCTTTTTGCAACTTAGAATTTCTGTTAAGTTTCCAGAATTTGAAAATAAAGGACACATAGCTAGTAGTACCTGGTATAATTCCAATTTAATTTAATAAAATAGCGCACGGATAGATTTTTCCACTTCTTTTTAGATATCTTACTTATTTTCAAATGACTGTTAAAGTTATTTTTCATTTTATGAACGGGGTGATGGAGACTGTATTTCAGATTCTGTTCTTTCTTTTAAATGCAAAACAGCAGGGGAAAATAGACAAATTATTTTAAAAGCTTGGGTATATTATAAAGAAATTACAAAAATCCTTTAATTTCTAATTTTTAACATAAATTACTTCCACAAATCGAAGTATTGTGTTATGTTATTTTAGTTAATAAATCTTCTGTGTTTCACATTGTTTCCCATAAGGAAATACTCTGTTGATTTTAGGATATTATATGTCTGCCTTGAACATAACTCCTTTCTGACTTAAGCAGAAACTTTTGCTCAAATATTAATAGTATGATACAGCCTATAGTAGTTTTACATTACTTCCATTTTGTCTTTAGGGATTTACCAAGGCAAACTCCTGCTGAAATTAAGGTCTGCATAAGGACTAACAGACTATGTCAGTAATAATATTCAGTTTTGATACAGTGCTTTTCATTCTATCTCCCAAGGCAATTTAGGAAGACAGAAAATATTTTTCTTATTTTGTAGAGAAGGGAGGTGAGCTAACATGCTTAGAATCATCCTGCAAACCGATAAATGACTGAAATAGCTTTGGAGTGCTGTATCCATTAATTCACACTGTTCAGCTGATTATTTGTTTGGTATTAAAATGTCTGGGTGATGTTAGTTCAGTGAATTTGGAGGAGTCTAGTGCCACAAAGAAGCCTATCTGAAGAAAATTATAAAATACTCCTGTCTGCAGAAATGTTAGCCTGGCAGTGAAATACATGTTTTAATTGTCACTTTCCCTTATATGTTAATATATAGATGGTATACTTGTGTAGGCATATCAAAAGTGACATTCTGCACTCTGCACATAAGGTCTGGAGCACAAACCAGAATTCTAGACTCAGATAAACCTGAAATATAGATTTTTTTGAAATTTCAGACTGTTAACCAGACTCAGTTCTTTGCTTCTGTCTGGAGTGGTTGAATTCTTTGTGTTTTAATGTAGTTGAATTTTTGGCTTTTCAGAACATTGTACCAAACTTCACAAAGTCAGCACAGCTATTAATTTAAACATTTGAACCTGATCAGATGCAAAATAAATACAAGGTGACAAGTAGAATTGTCACAGTCTGACACTTTAAATTATGATTTGACAGTGTAAACCACACATGAAACATAAGCAGGTAAATTACATTAATTTTGCTCTACAAAAATGAGCAAGTAAATTAAATGTAAAAATAAATAAGGCAGGGTTATGACAGGAACACCTCATACTGTGTGTGAAAGGAACAAACTGATTTTAGGTTTTTACTTTGATATCCATACTGTATTGAAGTGCTGGTTTCTTCTCACAGGTAACTAGTGACAGAACAAGGGGGAATGGCTTTAAACTGAAACAGGGGAGGTTCAGACTGGACATTAGGAAAAACATTTTCAGAGAAAGAGTGGTCAGACAGTGGAATAGGCTGCCCAGGGATGTGGTGGAGTTGCCATCCCTGGATGTGTTTAAGGGTCATTTAGATGAGATGTTGGGGGATGTGGTGTAGGGGAGAACTTTGTAGAGTCGGGCTGATGGTTGGACTCGATGATCCCAAGGGTCTGTTCCAGCCTGAATTATTCTGTGAAGTTTGTATTCACAGTTGATATAGATGTGGATTTGATTTAGTGTTGAATTTTAGCATCTTAGTGGCTGTGAAATTTGTAATCTAGTTAGATTTTTCAAGAATCTTTGTGATCTATCTTCTGTTCTTTCCCTGTTCTATTTTTAATTGTAAACAATATAGTTCTTTGTGAGTGTGTATCTTAATCTGAAAATTTTATCAGCTGATAAAATTTGCTTTGCAAAAGCAAGTTTTTATTCAGAGATATAAGAAGTAAATATTTATAATGTTTGCATTTGTTCGATGAAAAATTCTAATCTGAAAAGTAAGATAGTTCTGCACTGGCTGCAGGTATGCTTTTACAAGTGGCAGTATTTCTTCTAAAAAGAGTCTCAACAATTCACTTAAGTTTTCATAGAGCCACTCACCAAATAGGACAAAATAGCATGGGCCTAACTGTCAAAAATTGGATGGAAACTCCAGAAATCATCAGTACTCATTCCTCATCGTTTCAGATCATTTTAATATGGTATGTTTCTAATGGATTTAATGGATTTTTTTTTAAAAAAAAAGATACCTTGCTTCTATCAATCATGCAACTGTATTAGCAATCCTGCAAGACTGGCACCAGCTGATTTTAAACTTGGAAAAGAATTTCACATTATTCAAGAAAAGCTTGTACTGTTCAACTGTTACTGCAACTACTAATGAGTAATTTATAAATAAATCCATTTGTATATGCAATACAAGAAGCATGAATCAGGATAAAACTTAACATTTGCTCCTGTTGATGTATATAGAAAAGATAGCCTAGGTGCCAGATACTCATTCATTTTCTCAGAGAAACAATGAACTTTGTCGGGGAGGCACCTAATAACTTTAATTTTTACTCACACTGTCTTTTTGCTTTCTGTAGTAAGGTTCAGCCATAGAATCTACACAAGGATTACTTGTAGGATATGATTTCAAGCAGCATTTAAATAAAATGAAATAATGACTATCATAAGATCATTTTGAAGATCTGAGTATCATTCAAATTTTAGGAAATACTTAAAAATATAAAATATCTATAAGCAGGTTTTGAACTCTTGCACAGATCTCAAAGTAATACAACAAAGATTGTCATGTAAGTCATTTACTGTAATAGCTAACCACTTCTGATTCCATTCTGCATACATACCTGTATCCAAGGGCTACTGAAACAACTATGAAGATTTCCAGTGTTCAGCCAACTTTGGATCATGCACACATTATGAATTTCAATCCTTAGATAGTTTCAACAATGTATCTCCAATGTCAAGAGTACTGGCTTAATTTAAATGAGAAATGTACAAAACTGAATGAAAAAATATGGTAGGAAAAAATGTGGTTTGAAAACCTGTGTTTAACACTGACAACATAGAGAAATAGGATAGGCAAATCATTTATGAAATATGAGCTGCAAATCTAAAAACCCTAAAGGAAATATTTTAGCACATTGCTCAATTAGTACTAAATACATGTGCACTGTTTTAGCAAATGTTACAGAAAAGGTGTGCAAGTAGTCTGAGCTCAGGAACTCTGGTTTTTACTAAAGTAAACGTAATTGTTGCTGTTTCATATTTAAAAATTAATAGTACCCTTTTTCCATGTAATTTTGAGTCAGATAATGACAATGATGGAAATACTACAGCACACCTGAAGACGACTTTTACAGCAAGACTAAAATATACTAAGCCCAGTATTAGCACTGATCAAGGGAAAAAGCAACTATAAAATGATACTTGCATGGCAGGTGTGAAAACACATTTTTGTAGTCTACAATTTTTCCAGATTTTTTTTTGCAGAATATTCTTAGGTAAAATATGGCAGCTTTGAAATTGCTCCAAAATATCTCACAACCATCTATAGATTTCTCTCTGCAGCCCACTTATTAATAGTCTCTGTTCAAAACAAATTTGTGTATACATGTGTGTATGAGGACTGAAAGCAATTTTAGGCTTTTATTCTGATCAACTTGCTTCTGCCTTCTTTCCTAGGAAGTGTGTAGAGAGCTCTGGTGCCTCAGCAAAAGCAACCGCTGTGTTACTAACAGCATTCCAGCAGCTGAAGGTACTCTTTGCCAAACAGGGAGCATTGAAAAAGGGGTGAGTACAAATAATTTATTGTTTGAAGAAGCAATTTATTGTTTTAAGACTACAGGAGGAAGTAACTAGAATATTAAAGTACTTATGAACAACTATAATAGTTCAAAAAAAGGAGTTATGATTTCAAAATACATTTGCATCCTAATGGAGTGTCCTACAGAAATATTTCACCATTATTTTAAATATGTAATTTAATAAATTATTTATCCTTGCTATAAAATTATACAGCCTGTATCAAAAAAACCCTAACCCTGTTACATACTCTGTATATTTTTCAAGTAATTTTTGTAAAAACTGTTTATTAAATTTTATGGCTTCCGTGAAGGACTGTTACAATCTAGGTCTGGCATGAACTTTGAAAATGTGTAGCATAGATCTAGAGCCTGAACTCTGTCATTTTTTTATAAGATTTAAAAAAAAAAAATATTCCTTCAGATATAATCTGAATCATACAAGTATATAGAAAAAATGTTGCCTTAATAAAAGTTTTTTCTAAAAGCCCATATTTCTCAGTGATCTTTCTGGTTTGACTTTGAATTATTCTTTTAGCATTCAGTTATACGTACATAACTGCTTAGCTTTAAAGGACTTTGCTGTGCAGTATAAGAAACTCTTTTACCTGATAGAAAAGTACAGAAAGTTAGTGTTGCAATAGATAAGTCTAGTGCTACTGTATCTGTCTGAAGATAGGAATTTGATTTTAAAACATTGTCTGTATATTAGTAGTTTTGGACAAAGTTCTGAAACTGAGTTTTAGATTAAGAGCAGTACGCAGAGTGTTACTAAATTACAAGGAAAAATCTATACAGATCTCAGAGGAGAGGAAAATATTTTAATTATTAATTTACAGGACATGTACTAGAGAAAAAAGTGAATTCCATAAGTGTCTTTTCAAGATAGTATATTGTGTGCGGGTTTGTACAAAGTGAAGTTTATATTAAACAATTTCTGGTATCTGTTTGAGACTTGCTGCATCTGTCTATAAGATTTACTGCTCTAAATTGGATTTTTTTCCTAATGACAGCTACTGACATCTATTCTCATTCTGTCTTCTGCCATGCTAGCTGGGCTAGTTTCAATAAAGATTACATTGTATTTTGATTAGCAATCTGATATCTAAACAAAAAGAATGAAAGCTTTTGGACAGCTGTCACAGTTTATTAGTGCTTGTTGATGGCTTCATTCAGGGCCTATGACCGAGCATCATTCTGATAGCTTTTCCATGCTGAGTTTGGAAATATTGGTAAACCATGTTAAATAAATTAATTGAAGGGGTCATTTAAAAAAAGAGTGCTTAGAGTTAGCCAAAGAAAATAGAGACACTTTCACATTCTACCAAAAATGTTCTTTTATTAGAGTAATAGAAAATGTTAAAAGCCCTACTCCTAAATCAACAGTCTAGGTTTATTTTGGAACCACCACTCCTTGTCAATGACAAGGAGGAATTTATGTCAATTTATATTTTTTAAACTGTGAGACTACAATGGACAAGTTGAGATGTTTTAAGACACTGTTGCTGTGTCTACTTTGAGATTACTCTACAAAACACCTTTTTCCAGTGATCAGTATCTTGTTCCATCATTAGATTTTAGAGGGAAATGAGAGAATCTGTACTGTTTTCCAGAAGTAATCTGTTCATGCATGTTAACAATAGAAAATTGCATCTGTACACTACAGCTTGAGATGAATAGTAAATTAATAGTTCCTGATAGCAGTAAAACCAGAAAACACAAGCTCTTTCCAAATACGTAGTTCTCTTTACTGCACGCTACAGAGAAAATAATAGGTTACAATTCTGCAACACTTTATTATTAATAATAATCCATTTATATTGAAGTCACACTTAAAGGCTGCAACAAAATTAGTCCCTATTTTGCTGAGCTCTGTCCAAAGATATAATAAATGATATTCCCTGCTTTAAAGGCCTAACAAGATCTTGGAGTACTTAATCATATTGGAGGGTCAGTTTCTGCTTTTAGTTATATTAATGTAAATTCGGTATAACTATTAAAGCAAAATTTGATGCAGTGTGCATTAATATCTTATTGGCAGAGCTGGGAGGGATTTCTACAATTACAATGGCCTAACACTGTATTACAAAACTTTCCTTCAGTTGCTTATATAAACCTGCCAAACATTTAACTCTTTGGATTGAAATTTTCCACAGTAGATGTTTGACTATGCCTGAAGGTTTTTAGAGTGTTTTCCATAGAAGTTACTCAGCTGTTTCCTGCATACCAGGAAAGAGAATAGAGTGGTTTCTTGCTACTGATGAAACTTGTACATCAGTTCTGTTTTGAAGCTTTAATATGTTCATGCTTTACTGAATGGTTTTACATATCAGCTGTGTTCAAAAAGGTACACTTCTTCCTAATTCGTAATGATAATTTTAAATAGGCATGAAATTTCTCTCTGTTTTACTCAGAGATGTGTTTGTGAAGGTAAACTGATAGAATTTTTTTAAAAGACTCTTATGAGGAAATGGTGCATATTAAACAGTAAGACAAAACTGATAGGAATCTTCTTTTTGTCTTTGAATGTAAAGTAATAAAAAAGTAACCTTTCCTAACAACATTGTTTAGATCTATGCTAGGAATGTAAATGAGGGGCAAATGTGCAAAAAGTGAAAACACAAGATACTGAAAGGACAGTCTAAATAGCTAGACTGTGTGATGATTTAAGTTATTATTGGACACAGTGATAAAGGTAAATTTAAGTTATTATTGGACATTCAGTTTAATTGGAAAATAATTGTAGATTAGTGATTGAAAATACACTGTTAAAATTGGGATGCAAATTTAAATAATCTTTTTTTTTTTCCTACAAAAGATATAATCAGTTTTCCTTAATATTAGAGCACTTGATGTGACAGTTTTCTATAACTATGTTATTGTAAATCTTAGTCTGTTGAACGCTAATATTTGTATAAAAGTGATCTCAAATGTGCCACAATATCATGTTATATTTTATTGTTAATGAACTCTAAGAAAAATTTCAGACTGCTTACATTATAGAGTCTTTTGCACATTTTTTACATATTCATATGCATCACCACTGTTTTTCTAGGTAAACTAATTTAAAGTTATTTATTCAATGTTAGAGAAGAATTAACATTTTAGTTCTAAACCTTTCATGAAGGATTGTTCTTTTAAAATAGCTATCACCTCTTGTTTCTTCACATGCTGGTTACTCAATAGTCCTTACCTCACTGTAGCAGATGAGGTTGCTATAATTTGTGGAGGAAGCATATTTCCGTGGACCAGTTAGAAATAACGAAGGTTATGGTAATCGGGAATTATTCTGCCAGAGATTTTATGCATCACTGGTTTCTGGTGAAAGATAAATTTTCACTAGAAAATTAAGAAGAGACACCAAAGTGAGCAGTAGTAAGTCCTCAGGTTTAACTTCAATAGAGGTGAAAAAACAGCATTTAAGGAGTTTTACAAGGAAATATGGGAATGTGGAAGCCAGTGTTTGCATGACAGAGGAAAATAAAGTGTGTAAAATACACCTGCCTTTTATATACAGTCATAATAGTATAGCTTTATGATGGTTTGCATCTTCTGTTTTACGTATGTGATATTCTTGTGGGTTTAGCATTAACTCTGCATGTCTTTTGTTTCTTAACTGATTTTAACATGTTTGTAATATACAATGTATTTAATGTATTTTAAATTAAATTATCAGCATACATTTTTACTCTTAGAAACACTATTATTTTTAGAATTTGACTTTCGCATTAGATAACTGTTCATGTGCTTGTGTGGCATCTTTATTTAATAGAGGGCTGCAAGGAGATTATGATTTTCAGTTATTAAAGTCATTATCACTTAATTTATCACTATCATGAGGAAAAAAAAAAACGGACAATTTTAATCCCTGGTGTAATTCACATGAATATTTCATTCTCAATCATAATTGCAGAATTAGAAACATTGCAAAACACTGTGCTCTACGGATATATCTATACTACCTAGAAATAGGAGTTTGCTCTACTGACTGCATTATGTGTTATACAGACACAATGAGTGATAGTCTGGATTTAAGAGAAGCTCCATATGAAGGTTACCTTTCTCTGATAGATGCCTGCTAATTGGCATAAACTTCAGATTTGTAAATTTAGAACTCCAAGAAGGATAAACCTCCCTTTCCTCAGTACAGCTCCATGAAACCATGTGTCTGGGTTTTTTCCTGAAGAAGGGTGTGGTGCGTTGACCCCATTCAGCAACTAGGTCCCTGTCTAGTCACTCACTCATTACCTCCCCATGGATGGGGGAGAGAATCTGAAGAGCAAAAGAGAGAAAAACTCATGAGCTGTGATAGACAGTTTAGTGAGTGAAAGGAAAAGAAAGAAAAAACGAACAAGAGATCAAAGGCTATCATTCACTACTTCCCACCATTAGACTGTTACTCAGCCAGTCTCTGAGCAGTGTAGCTACTTTGGAAGTACCCCTGCTCTCAGTTTTACTGCTGAGCATGATGTTACAGGGTATGGGATACTGCTTTGGATGATTTCGGTCAGCTGTCCCTGCTGTGTCCCCTCCCAGTCTCTTGCTCATCCCCAGCAACTCACTTGGTTGGCCGGTTGAGAAATGGAGAAAGCCTCGATGGTGTGCAAGCACTGTTTAGCAATAGCTAAAATATCAGTGTGTTACCCACACTGGTCACAAACCTAAAACACAGCACCATACTGGGTGCTATGAGGAAAACTGTCTGAGCTGTTTTGAACTTCCCAGCATTTTGAACTTCAGATTTAAAATAGCCTGCTTTATCTTGCATATAGACTCCTTGATGCTTTTTTTTTGTTTGTTTCTCTGACTGATACAGAATGAGGCTTATAAACAGCAATGTGCTGGATTGTAAAAGCTGTCTTTAAAACATGTACAGTACATATGGGGAAAAAAAGAGACCATGGAGGATAAAAACATTTTGAGAGAAGAAACATGAATGAATGTGGCTAGAAAAATAATGCTACAGGTTTCACTTATTAATGTGGAAAGAACAAGGAAATAATATAATAAGGAAATATAATAAATGGTAGCATGTGTACATATGCAAAACTATGTTCTATCTAGGTGCATTTGCTGATAAGCTACACATTTTAATCTTACATCATTTTAATGTACGTTACTGAGATCTACACACTTAGGTAGTGACACATCTGGCAGTCTAGAAGTACCTTTTATTTTAAATTATTCTTCTAATGAAAAAATAGATTTTTATTCATTTTATTTTATTAACACTCTGTAGAATCCTTGTTCATATCCAACTCCTATTAGGTTATTTTTTTTCTTGACTAATGACTGAAGGTTAAATACACTTTTCAGTTGCTTTCAGAAAAATCTAGAGTAATTCAGGTCATTGTGAATGGCTGTATTTACATATGTCCCACATTGCTGGGACAGAGGCTTTAGGTGAGCCTTATGACTCGGGAGAAGAGAAAATTTGGTTTTGCTGTAACTATTAGTATAAGGTCAACACCAAGTCTTCCTAGTAGTGCTTATAGGTAGACAGGGATATGTCTGTCTGTGTCTTCTGTGCATGACTCAGTGCTTTTTGTCAAATTCACATGGCTAACTTTGGACACAAAAGTTGTCTGGATTTTTTTTTTTTTTTTTTGAAGGGGTCAGTACTGTGTTGTTACGAGAATTCAGGGGAGTTAAACACCAGATGCCTACCTTTTGGAAATGAAATTTGCAGATTTGGGTCACAGTAGACCTGAGACTGTGCTCTACTCTAACGCCTAAGTCTGTAACGGTGGGAAAGGGTTATCTTACCAAGCTACTCCAGATTCTCAGTGATGCAGTAGACCCAGAATGTGGATCAAACTATGGGCTTCAGGGTTATTTCTGAGTGCTTTAAAGAAGTTTTCTGACTCAGGAAATGATAAAATTATTTTTAACAATTAGCTATTTGTGTGAATTGTCTGTCATTTTTTTATGTCTGAGGTAAGTAACAATATTGTAAAGTTTTAAGTGTTTGCATGAGTGCAGTACGCATGTTCATTCTGTCTGTGAACAAGTGGCCAGTCATTATTATATAATGATTTTCTGTACCGTGTCTAATGCTTTGGCACTATTTTTATTATGTCTGTAGGGTTAGTATAAATGAAGTACTGCAACAAATTCTTCCGTTGTAACCTTGTCCAGATTTTCTTTTTTAAAAAGTGAGGGAATACTTAAAAATGCTACCAGGGGGAATTTTTCATTTTGCATAATGAAGTCCCTACATGAATCCTAAGTGGAAGGTGTTTTACTAAACTAATCTTAAAAATTAAAAGAATGTAAGCAACTTTCAGTTCCTTTAATGTGAAACATTAAGAAGGATGTATGAAGAAAAAAGAAAATCTTTATTTTAAGCTTGCTTTAACTTCTGATGTGTGTTAGGGACCTGTAATTTAGGCCTTAGTGAGGACAATTAAATCACTCACACCCTCACCAATGTCTAAACATAGCTAGAAAAAGTAAAATATTAGTTTTGTTATCTATACAGAGAATGCTAATGCCTATAATTGGTCATTGCCTGACCCTTGTATTTTTCTGTCCTGATAACGTTGTCAGCCTGGAAACTAATTCTGTGTTTTTTTGTGAAATCTTTCAGTGGTGTTATCAGGGAGAGTGCGTACCTTTTGGCACTTGGCCCCAGAGCATAGATGGGGGTTGGGGTCCGTGGTCAATATGGGGAGAGTGCAGCAGGACCTGCGGGGGAGGAGTCTCCTCATCTATAAGACACTGTGACAGTCCAGCGTAAGTAGCTAAAGTAAGCTGGAGCCAACAAAAAGACACATTTGGAAATTATTCAAAACTGTGGTTTCACATGTTATCTGTAAAAATGTTTTGCTAGTTTGCCAACATTTGTCTTCAAAATAGCAGACAGAAACACTTAAACAGAAGTTCAATAGACATACTTTTAACATTTTTAATATATCTTATGTACTGTAAAGATAGTTGGATTTATATTTAGCCTTAGATAGATTTATGCCTTAAGACATATTACCTTTATTCCTTGTCTAGGATTTAACTGTTGCCAGTTACTTATTAAAAAAACAACACTGTTTTTCCAAGATTTTGCATACAACTGTATATATAAACCATAGTTAGTAGTATTATGTTGCATACAATACATTTATATGCTGTCATGGCCGACACTTATTTGTGACTTCCCACTAACTCTTAAAACAATCCAGCAACATCTCTTTGCCACCACTCCCTGTTGGTCCATTTACTTTCTCTTAAGAGGGGCCAGCTTCTCCACTACAGCTTGATTTGTTGTGTGTATCTGTACTGTCCTGTCATCTGCTTTCTGATGTCCTGAGCACTGCTCCAGAGAAGATCTGTCAGGTAAGTGCGACTGTCTGTCACTAGTGCTTCTCAGATGAAGAATGCTTATTTATTTCCATTGTTGTTCTTTGCTGATTGAATCTGTTTTTTAATGTTCCTGCTTGCCCTGTTCTGGTTACATCATCACAGCTACAGGTCTTTGCAGAAAGATAGATCTGTTACTCTGTACTTTGTTCTTGTCATGCTATTTCCATCACCATTATTAGTTTTTAAGACCACTTTTACTTGAAAATGTTAAGCTTTTGTACTTCTCTCATAAAAATATATTCTGTGGCTTTTGTTACTCCTTTCTTATCTTCTCCTCTCTGTACTCTTAGATTCTTTGTTGCTTGTACCCGTGTTTTGCAAGCTAGGCTGTACATAAGTGTTTCACTGCTCTCTGCAAGACAGACAGCATAACATCACATAACTTTTCACCTTCTATCATTAGCAATAACTGTCAAATCTGACAAATAGCACTGCTTGCTGAATGGATTCAAAACCAAAAATTATCCATATGCATTGATAACACATCAGACTGTGTTACTGAAAGAATAATAGAATAAATTCATTAATGTTTTTTCACAGTACTATGTAAAATTGCTAGTATTTGTTTAGAGCACAAGTGATTTCCTAAGATTTCTTTTAACTACTTCTGTGACCATCTGTATGGGTTGGTATGTTCAAAGGTGGTTAAATTTTCGATGTTTAAGAGTACAGCAAGCAAATGCATTTGAAGGGTGGTATGTCTGCATGAGAAAAAAAATTTTCTTTGATTCAAGGATAGTGTTACTTGGTTAAATATCTGTAATGTGAAAAAAAGTATTGATTTTCTTTTTAGTTAATTAGAAATTATTTTATTTCTTGGTTATAAAACAAACACCACCTTTTCCTTTCTGCTTTCAAGTTATGAGCCAAAGAGCTGATGACTGATTAATCTTTCATTTAAGTCAACGTTAATTCATTATTTGACCTCTGTGGAAGCTGGATGTTCTTTAACAGTTTGGCAATTTAAGAGCTGATGTCTTATTCACACTAATAGAAACCTTCTTGCTCTGGAGTTTCCTCAGATTTACTACTGCTTAATTCAAATCAGAATCATATTCTTGAACTAGAAAATGCAGTCTTTGCTGGCCCCAATATTTAGCAGGCAATGTTTCTTCATTTGGTTATGTTTTCAAGTGTAATATGAGAAGATTTAAAAAAAAAAAAGTTGATCACAGGTTGTTTACACATTTCTCATTCTAGTTTTACAAAGCAAGCAAATAATTAAAACCAATGCCTTTTTAGTATGTTCAAAATATAATTAAACTGTATTGCTTGGGATCTGTGCAAACTAGATGAATGCTATATTAGCAATGATTTTCAAGTATCCTGTATTGTTTTGTATCTGTTCCAATCAAGTCAGTGGTAAAATTCTTATTAAATAAAATATTTTAAAATCTCACCTTAAAAATTCCACGTACTTTTATTTATATATCTTTTATTTATACTAATAATGCATTAGTATATCTCATGAACTTGTGTTTGTACTAATACATATACTAATACATAAAACATCTTTTTCCAGGCCTTCAGGTGGAGGCAAATATTGTCTTGGAGAAAGGAAGCGGTATCGCTCCTGTAATACTGATGTAAGTAAATTTTGTTCCCCTGTATACTTATAATCAGCTTGTCTGGTTTACATTTTAGCAGCAATGGATGAGTTTTTTCCCAGTTCAGAAAAAGTGTGAATTCTGCATTTTATTAGCAAACAGTCCTGTCGGGCACTTCTGTACTGCAAGCAGCCTCTGTGTTCTGCTAAAAGTAAGGATACCTGTCTCAATGTGATGCTCAGCTAGTGTCTTCACACTAAGGCTGGAGTGAGTTCAACTTGAGCATCCATGTTAAAGGTGAACAAGGAGCATTGCACATCAGAGCAGAGGTCTGCCTAGTCCAGTGTCTTGTCTCCTAGAGTGGCAAATAACAGGTGTTTAGGGAAAAATTATAAACTTGTGGCAGCCAAGGCATGATTTTTCCAGGTATACACCTTACGAGTTTCCAGAAGCTGGGGTCTAAAGATTTCTTGAGCTCCACATCATATCTGTACCACATTAACTGCCACAAATGGAAGTATCCTCCACTAATCTGCTTTTAAACCCTCTTACTCTTTTTATACCTTTATAACTTCCAGTGCTAATGTGTTACACAGTCCTCTTATACATTTTATGGAAATGTATTTCTTTTGGTGTGTTCTAAACCTGCTGTTTTGCCATCAGATATCCGCTGGTTCTTGTATTACCAGAACGATAATGCAGTTTTATTTTAGAGCTCATCAAATAATGAACTACACTGACAGGATGGGACAGAGTATAAATGTATAAAATCAAATTATGAACCGTAAGTACAAATTCAAGTTAAAAATTGAACCAGAAAAAAGTACACACCAATAAAGAATTTCACCAGTAACTTCTCAAGTCAGTAGCACTACAAACATAAACATGCTTTCATATTGTTTTAGCTTCAAATTCGTCTTAATTTTCTTATCTAAATCAAGAAAGTTGATAACAATGGGAGATTGTTTGCCTAAAGGTGTTGTTTCACCTGTTTATCTTTTGATATATTTCAGGAAAAAATATAGTAGTTAATATGCTAACTCCTTGAAGAAAACTTGGGTGTTTGATCATTACTAACATTAGTTCTGCAAACATGTCTGTGGAGGTTATTCTTATTATTAGAAAGTATTACAAATTTAAAAAAAAAATATTTCCAACTGCTAATCACAGCTGCTCTGTTCACACACCCAAGAAGTGCGTTAGGCCTGTTGGTGACTGTGTTGTAAGAGAACCTGAAGCTGAGCTGCTTGTCCAGTAAGAGCTGGACAAACTAAACTTTTCCAGTCAGACAACCTTCCAAATTACAGTGCACCATTCTGAAACTTCGACGATCTTTTTTTTTTTTTCTGTAGATGTGTATGTTTGTGCTGTCTGTCTTTGTTCAATTTTTATTTGAATGAATCCATTTTATCAGATGATATGCTGTAATTAATTTACCTTCCTCTTTATTTTCACTCAGACGGTCTTTTTGTAATTGGAAGACTTCATAAGCAAGAAATTATTTCATAGTTCCAGTTAACAAATGAAAACGTTGAGTAACACTGAGTGTGTTTCTTATAGTTGATAGGAAAATCATCTATGAATTCACCACCTTATGTTTCCTTATTGAAATCTACCTGTTGAAATCTGTCAGTCAACATTTAATAAATTTAATGTATGCTTTACTGAACTAGTACAAGTTTATTTCTATTTTTTTTCAGTTAGGATGTTGTGTACTGCTAAGCACCTTATGAAAATATAAGCATGTTCCATTATCCTTCTAATATAACCAAGATTTTTAGAAATTTTTAGTTGATAAAACCTATTCTTATGAAAAATACTGATTCATATTATTATTTCTCCTTCTTTCAAACCTGTATCAGTCAAGTCCCTGCCAGCTTTTCTGTTTATCTGGGATTGATGTCAGACAAATTGTAACCTAGAATAATCCTTCTCAACCTTTTCACATTAGGACTGTTTCAGTTTGTACACACAGTATAAGATTTGTTAAAAAAATCACATTGGCACACTGGAGCCCTCCTCCTTTAAATCTTTGAGGACTTGCAAGGTTATTGTTAGGCATGCTTATTTAAAATGTTTATCTCCAGTAGATAATATTTAGCATCTGCCACAGTAACTAGTGTACAAAAAAGCTTACATAATACGTAATCCTACACCATCACAAATATACAACAGTTTTTAATGCTTTTTTATTATTAACATTTGTGCTGTAGCTACCTAGTGATCCTGTTGAAATGTTGCTAGGATTTGGTTTATCTTGTATTTTATTTATTTTATTTCTTATTGCCAGATACATTTCAGACAGTTTTCTTCTTAGTTGGTATTGCTTCTCTTATTCTCTTATTTGTTTATTACTGAGAGGAAGCTTATAAGGTCATAGAAGGAACGTCTAGAAGCTGAGGACTCCATTCAGGCTATTTTCTGGCTCAAAGGCAAAAATAACTGTCATTAAACCATTCTTAACTGATAGTTAGGCAGCTGACCTGTTTTGAAATACCTCCAGTCTGGGAGATAACATTTGAATTCTTCAATATCCTTACAATCAGGACATTTCATGAAATATAGTGTATGCTTTCCCATTCTTTAAGACTCTAACTTATTCTTTGCCTAGTAAGAAGATAGCTGGTAATATTCTCTTTATGGGAGTCTTTCCTATGTTTGCAGACTTGTCTCATGTGTCACCTTAGTCTTCTTTACACTAGGCAGTCTCTGTGTTTAATAGCCTTTAGGATCCCAGTAGCACACATCTTGAGGCATGGTACCCAAACTTCAGCACAGGATTCTAGCTGAAGCCTGTCAGAGATAAATATAACTTCAAACTTCGTCTGTCGTTATAGTGATGGGATTCCATTTATTCATTTCCGTATTGTGTTAATTTTTCTTATAGGACTGAAAATATTTATTTAGTCTGTACTGATCCATGATGCCCAAATCCATTTCTTAAGAGCTACTGTTTAGGAAGTCATTCCTCAGCTTGTGCTTGCACAGTTGATACTCCTCAAGTGTAGTAATTCGCATCCATTGCTTTATATCAAACCAGTGCTCCAGTTTATCAAAATCTTAAAATTACAGTCCTCTATTCCAAAATGTTCATCTCCTACCTATACTCAGACTTCAATCAATAATTTAAACAAGAGATTGGAAAGGAAACTTCGCATTTAACTGTCTAGGTTATAAAAACAAATCTTGAACAATTGCAGACTTGGACCAGGCAATTTGGAATTGCCATTCTTACAGTTTGACTGTGAATCCTTTGAGCATATTTTTGGAGTATGGTTTTCCAGTGCATAAACACACTGGTACTTACAGAATTTTACATTTTACTGCCTTAATCATTTTGATGATTGTAGTCTATTTCTTTTACAGTAATATTTTAGGGTTCTACATAACTAAGAATTGCTGAGACTAGTAGATACTGTTTCGAGATTTATGATAGTCCTTACTACTTGACTTTTTTAATGGAATGGTATGTTTGATTAATGTAAGCATTAAGAACATGCAAACCTGTCATTGTTTTTACGAAAAATGTGTTGTTTGTACATCTTTTATGTTGAAGTTCATTCAGTGTCAACATTCATTGCCCATCTGTAATTTTCAACATAGCACTCCCTAAAGCTCCTACTATTCATAAACAAAAAAAACCTCATTTTGACTTCATTTTTCTTTCAGAGATTAGTTAGTTCTATTGCCTTTCTTTTGACCAGTTTAATTCTTGGGAAACACTGCACACACTCCTACTAGGCTTCTCATAAGATACTTCCAAAGCCATATATGACTTCTTAATTCAAAAGGCATCTCCTAATGGAAACACTTAGATCAGCAGAAAAGAATATTAGGTAATGAGGTATGGAAACAAAAGGGTGGTAGAAAGAACACACTCATCAGAAACTTATTTTCTATTACCTACCACACTATAACAAAAATACATGTATTTTTCCAGCCAAAGTATTTTTAGTTTTAAAAAAATACAAAATTCTAATAAAATTGAAAGGCACATAATTACTCAGTTAAAGCAACGCATTGTCTAATTTAGTATATGTATGGGATGTGAAGTTTAATGTGATATACATCTAAAATTGTAAAAGTCTCGTTTTTTTATATATGATAAACATATTTTGCTTGTAAGTTTTGTGAATGGCTTATCTATATAAAAGTATGTGTGTATACATACATTGAAAAAATTCTTGTTCTTCAGTCTTTTAATAAGACCGTGGGCAAATGGTTTTTGTTGGTTCCTTCCATTATGCATACATTTGCAGATACTGTTTCTTGCTTTTGTAATTTTAATATTTTCAAACCTATTTTTTCTGGAATGCATTCATGCATATCTTGAGTTTTAGCTGTCACCCTTCTGGCTAAGTTTCTCATATTCTGAGAGGTGTAGTATAGCTGTCTGTTAATAGGAAACATAATGAGTTCAGTTACTGAACTCTGCCCGTCTTTAAGCTCCAAGGTAAACAGATTTTTGTGAGATAAAATGTTTGATGTCATGTCAGTGTTGGTTCAGTGATTTGTTAACACTCTTTCATTGTTTTATTTTTGCTTCAGTCTTAACAATTTTTATGTTCTCGTTAAAGTCAATGCTTTTTAAAACTCAGAATTTTAATTGTTTCATCATCTTCTTGGGACCTTCTTTAGACCTAATTTTAAGTTCTTACACATTTGTTATATTCCTATCCTGTGATTTGCAGTCTCCTAAAAGAGCATTTGGAAACACAAGCAGCCTGTGCTTGACAAGAGTTATCTGTGTACTGTAACTGCATGAAAAAAAATTAAATCTCTTGCTCTATAAAGAGAAGAAGTTATTGCACATTTACTTTGGGAAAAGAGTATGTTTTTGGCAAAAGCGTGGTCTAGACAAGATGGCCCAGCACCCTGTCCAGCCAGGTCTTGAAAGTGTCCATTGTTGGGGAGTCCACCACTTCCCTGGAGAGATTATTCCAATGGCTGATCGTTTTCATTATGAAAAATTCTCCTCTTGTGTCCAGTAGGAATCTCCCCAGGAGTAAGTTGTACCCATTACCCTTGTCTTTTCCATGTGAGTCCCTGCAAAAAGGGAGTCTCCGTCTTCTTTGTAGTGACTCTTTAAATAGTGAAACATAGTGATGATGTCTCCCCTAAGCCTTCTTTTCTCAAGGATGAACAAACCCAATTCTCTCAGCCTTTCCTTATATGACAATCATTTGATCATGTTTGTGGCCCTTCTGTGGAGTGTCTCTGGCCTGTTCACTTATTTTTTGTATGTCAGGGACCAGAACTCAACACAGTATTCCAACTGTGGCCTGACAAGTGCTGAGTAGAGTGAGATAATGACTTCTTTATCTCTGCTGGGTGTTGCCCTTGTTGACGTAACCCGGCATACTGTTGGCTTTCTTTGCCACAGCAGCACACCGTTCACTCGTGTTGAGCTTGTTGTCCACCAGGACCCCAGGTCCCTTTCCAGAGAGCTGCTCTCCAGCCAGGTAGATCCTAGTCTGAGCTGCACTCCTGGATTATGTTTTCCCAGGTGCAAGACCTTACACTTGTCCTTGTTGAAATTCATAAGGTTCATAAGGTTCTTGTTAGCCCGCTCTTCCAGCCTATCCAGGTCTTCCTGCAGGGTGGCTGTCCCTTCGAAGTGTCCACTTCCCCGCTCAGTTTGGTATCATCAGCAGACTTCATCAGGGTACACTTGATCCCATCATCCAGATCACTTAGAAGATATTAAACAGCACTGGGCCCAAGATCGATCCCTGAGGTACCCCACTTGTGACAGGTTGCCAGTTTGAGAAGGAGCTGTTTCCCACCACCCTCCGGGTACGGCCTGTCAGCCAGTTCCCCACCCACTGCACAGACCACTTGGCTAGACCATAACGCATCAGTTTCTCTAGGAGGAAGGAGGCTGTGGGGAACTGTACCAAAAGCCTTGGAGAAATCCAGGGAGACAATGCCCACAGCTCACCCCACATCAACCGAGCAGGTTACTTGGTCATAGGTGATCAGGTTTGTCAAGCATGATTTTGAATGCATTTCTTGAGGTCATAGCGTCTAGTTTTACTTTCTCTCAGTTACTGGTGAGATACTAAAAAAGATAAGAAAATTATGCAAGAACAAAAACTATGTTTCAGATTGCAGAATGTTGCAGATTATAGTTATTGTTTGCTAACTGCAGTCTTCAGAAGGACTGCCTGAAAGTGTTACTGAATCCACTTGTAAGCTGGATTCAAACTAATGATTTGGACAAAGAGCAAGATCCTGAGATGAGGGCTAGCATATGTCCGTATTCACTGAGAGGACTTAGCCACCAAAATGGAAACTTACTTTATTGCAGAGATCACCAAATCTGCCTAGGGACTGATGGATTTTCATTTTTAGAGCCAAAGACACCATGTTATGTAAAAGTTTTGATGCGTTAGTATATTTGTGAAATTAATTTAACAGTACTTGCAGTATAGGAAACCAGGATTTAATCTGCAGGGCTACCAAAATCAGATAAAATATAAACAGAGCAGGAACATTGTATGAGGGGCTTTGCACCCACAGTTCCTTTAGCTGCCCCAAGGTATTCCCAGCCTTGTCTGCTGTTCTTGTCAGCAGCGAGCTTGAAGACTATGCATACTTGTGTGTGGCTATTCTGTCTGACTGCCAGAGCTGTGTTCAAGAAGAAAAGATGATACAGTGAATTTAGCAGTTTAAATTGTGACAAAACCTGAACTGATACTTAATAGTGTAAAAGAAAGATTTTGCTTCTCTCACAAGGGGACCTGTGGACATCACCTTGTACAGCCCATGCAGCTCAAACCTGAAACAGGTTGCCCAGGACTGTGTTCACATGGCTTTTGAATATCTCCAAGGAGGGAGATTTCACTACCACTTTGGGCAACCTGTACAAATGCTCAGTCACCCTCACAGTAAAATGTTTTGTGATGTTCAGGAGGAACCTGTGTTTCCATCTGTGCCCATTGCTTCTGGTCCCATCACTGGGCACTGCTGGAAAGAGCCTGACTCCATCCTCTTTACACCCTCCTTCCAAATATTTGTACATATCTATTAAGAGAACACACACCCCCACCCCCCACACCCCCCCATGAGCCTTCTCTTCTCCTGGCTGAACAGTCCCAGCTCTCTCAGCCTTTCCTCATATGAAAGATGCTCCAGGCCCCTCGTGGCTTTTTGTTGGACTCTCTCCACTATGTCTCTTGTGCTGAGGAGCCCAGAACTGAAGATAGTATTGCAGGTGTGACCTCACCAGTGCTGAGTAGAGAGTAAGGGTCACCTCCCTGGACTTGCTGTTTGACATTCCTTTGCGGCCCATGATGCCATTATTAGCCTTCTTTGTCACAAGAACACATGGCTTTTTATCCACTAGAGCCCCTGGGGCCTTTTCTGCAAAGCTCCTTTCCAGCTGGTTGACCCCCAGCATGTGTTGGGGCGTGGGGTTGTTCCTCCTCAGGTGCAGGACTTTGCACTTCTTGTTGAACTTCATAAGGTTCCTGTGGACTCATTTTTCAAGCCTTTCAACGTCTGTCTGGATGGCAGCACAACTCTCTGACGTATCAACCACTCCTCCCTGCTTTGTGTTACCAGCAAACTTGTTGAGGGTATACTCTTACTCATTATCCAGCTTGATTATAAAGTGATATTGCCTCAAAATACCTCCAAGATTACCATCAAAGAAGAGTAGTAAGACTTCATGTCAAGGATCAGATTGTGAGCATTTTTTCAGGAGTATAAATGTGGTCATCCTGATCCTTCTTTACTAATCTTCATATTTGAGTGTTTTGTACTAGTATAACTATTTAGGAAAAGGATTTCACCAGGGGGGATGATTTAATTAACTTGTAAAGGGAACTTGGTGCAGTTAAAATACCAGCCATGTAAATTAGTACTTAAGCAAGTTGGACTGAAGTGAGTTCAGTGACCAGTATCAGAGAGATTTGGACTCAGGCTTTGAGATGAGTAAAGACTGATCCTTCTACTACTTGGAGAGCATGATGCAAAGAGGCAAATTTAATTTGTGTTATTATTTTTAAAAGTTTCTAGAATTCTTACTATTTTATTTATATAGTTATTTTTTATGTTTACTGTTACCATCTGAAGGATTATTGAGCTAAAGTAGTTAAACTACCTTTTTTTTCCCACCAGTAGATGTATTATTTTTAAAAATGTATTTTTAATCAAAAGGAGATAGTGGAGTGATTTATAGAGAAACAGTAAAATTGAAATACTGTCTGATGTCCACTAATTTATATCACATCATCTTCAAAACTAGAGAAAAATTTTCTAGTTTCTGAACCATATTGCAGTGGGCTGACTGTTATAAGTGCTTGATTAATCTATACTGAGAATCATAATTATTATGTTAATATTTGCATTGAGCAGTACATTTTTACCATCGTGTTTATAGAGACTCTTTGACTTGAATGCATTTCAGATTCCTGAACAGTGCTAACTGGCTTAGATACATAGGAAGACAAGCAAAACTGCCATAAAATGGACTCCTCTGTTGCTTGTAAAATAGTAATATTTATTAACACCTCTGATTTCTGTCAAACAAATTATTTTCTCTTCTGGTTTAAAATGATTTTAATCCTTATTTCAAATACTTTATCTGATGAAACTTGCAATTTCAGCAGGTACTTAAACACTGATAACTATGTTTAATATGCTATCTAAATTCTGGGTGTGTTCAAGGTTAATTGTAATTAGTATGTTGAACCTGCTGATGAAAAATGTGAGAAATAGCAAAGATTCTTTCTCCTATAGTTCTTTCTGAGATGAGTTTCACTTACACCTACCCTTATTCCAAGTAAAAATGATTCTTCATAGATTTGTGATTGGTCATGCAAAGAAATAAAAATTTAAATGAAAGTTTTTATTTCTTCATGCTTGGTGACTGAGCCAGACATGATATCTATTCTCATTCTCACCCTAAACACAGTGCTTTTGTCAAGGCTATGAGTAAGCAGAGATGATACAGCTCTCTAGAACGTTTTTGATTTTTTTTCTTGATGTTTTAATAACATATCTCAGTACAGATGCTTAGTACAGTATAACTGAACCTACAGCTCTTACCATATTTATTTTTAAAAAATGTTTTCAGCTGTTTCTAATGTGTATTTATAAGGAGGTAGCTGATGGATTGATTATTAAACATAGTTTGATGTGGTTCTGATTGTCCAATTTTATGGAAACTGTTACGTAACACTTACCTTTGTTTAAATTACTTCTGTTACTTCGTGTCAGCCTAAGATTTTTGCAAAACAGGCACTTTAACTGTAACAATAAATCAAGTTTCAGAATCAGAGCCACAAGATAAAGCAGGGAACCACCTCCTAGTCTGTTGCATGATTATGTCTGCAATGTAAGCATATAAGCATTTCCTTTTATACTGCTGTTTGGAAGAAATTAACCTTTTCTTGTCTTTATTATTTTAGCCATGTCCTTCGGGGGCCCGTGATTTTCGAGAAAAACAATGTGCGGATTTTGACAATATGCCTTTCCGGGGAAAGTATTATAACTGGAAACCCTACACTGGAGGTAATGTGAAGTCTTCAGAATTATATACATGTTATATAAAGAGTGATGTTTGTAAACAGAATGTTTTTATTAAAATATAATGAGCTTATGTTGCTAAGCTTGTACATTTTGTCAGATGCTGAAAATGTTGCAGAAGAGACATCTCTGTTCTGGTAGAGCTTTGTTTTACTCTGAAGGGGAGGGAACACTGGAACACTGTTGTAGGGACTCAACTTTAAAAATATAGCACCCTTCTTCATCTGCAGTTGCAATAGAATTAGAGATTCCATAGGTGATCTCTTAAGTACCTTTCATGCTACAGTGTTGAGTTCAAATTAAAAAATCTTACACTAAGTTTTTTATTTCTTTAAGGTCAAAATATTAGGAAAAGGAGAAAGAGGGAAAGCATTTATAAGAGTCTCTAAGGACTACTTCCATAATTGAATTATAAATAATTGCACTGTGCAAAAAAAGGGTATTTTGCAGCAGGGAAGAGGATTGTAATTTCATTTTCAGACAGTTTAATCAAGTTCAATTATGTTTGTCATTCAAATTTTGCCCTTTATTAATTTTCTTTTCATGTTCTAAACCCTGAGTAAGTCCATGTTCTCCTTTGTGTTTCTGTATTTTATTGACCTGAATGGTTTTACTCTCACTTTTTAGATTGAAAGCCTAAAAAGGGTCATTCTGATCAGGTGGTCTGAGCTGTAGTGTAATTCAGTAGGACTAAGTTCCTAATTGAAATAGTCAAATCTTGGTTTTGAAATTTACCCTGATATCCTTCTAGCACTACATTCTTTTGTTAATTTTTGTTCTTAAATGGTGAAGGGGTATCCTTATTGTTTTAAATAGTTCAATAATCTTTAGGGTTGTAATAACATAATGGAATCATTATGGAGCCAGCCAACCTTGCCATATCTTACTATGTGAAATAATCTTTTTTGCAAGAAAGAAGAGTCAAGTAGAGAGAAATAAAGGGAAGTTAAGCAAAGTGTATACATTATATGTGTCAGGTATGAGATAAGATTATATATTTCAGATTTGTTTATGCATATATATTTTTAACTAATTGTTAACTTAAGATTTCTCTTGTGTTGTGGTTTGTTTTTTTTCATTTGTTTTTATTGGCCAGGTGGGGTTAAACCATGTGCATTAAACTGCTTGGCTGAAGGTTATAATTTTTACACTGAACGTGCTCCTGCAGTTATAGATGGGACTCAGTGCAATGCTGATTCACTGGATATCTGTATCAATGGAGAATGCAAGGTTACAAATGTTTTATAAAGTACTTATGGATTACTTTTGTTGTGTCTACTATCTCCTACATTTAATTACGGTACTTGTTTGTTACTTATATGAAATGAGAGTGTTGACAGGTTAAGTTGTTAATGAAAGAGTAAGATTGAGAAAAAAATAAAAAAGGTATTGCATAAATTAGACTCAAATCATTTGAATTTCAGTAGCTTCTCACAGACATTTATAGAATCCTTCATTTTGTCTTTTTTTTCTTGCTTTATGGTTTGCATTGAGAATCAGTGGAAAGGGCAACAGCAGAGGAGCAGTTTCTTTGCAGTGTTCCAAGGCCTGTTCCATCATTCCAATTAGAACACCACTCTGCCTAAAAAACAGTAAATGTGAACATATTAATCTGTTTCTCTCTAACTAGTTCATCATGCTGCAAACAATTCTGCTGTTAATGTAATTAAAGCATAAAGTTGTCACTATTGCTCTGTAGTTCTAGGAAAAAGTGTATAATGATGCAAGTATTTACTAAATTTGCTAGATTTAATAAAAATCTGATTATCTTATAAGGTTCTTATATAATGGCATTACATGAATTTGAATAGAATTGGAGGTCTGTGACGTATTTTTGGTTATATACATCCCACTGCTTCTTCAGTTTAGCAAAGCATTTAATTAAGTACTTAAGACTAGATATCTGAACAGCGCTGGTGACTCTAAAAATTATTTGACTTCACTGAAACCACTAACATAACTAAAGCTTAACCTGATACTTAAGTTCTTTGCTAAATTGAGGACTGAAGATGTATGTCTTTTATATGTCATTTGCCATGTATTAGTAAACTAGCAACAGCAAAAAAAAAGGCGCAAGAAGTAACCTGTGGAATTATGGTGTACTTTATGTATTTTATACATAAAAAGATATTAGAAGTTTTGAGAAAGCGTTTAATAATCAGACTACTTCTTAAGTTAAGAATGAAATACGTAATAAAGTTGGGCCTTTGTCGTCTTGATGAATCTGTCAAAATTTAAATGGTCAGACTAATACTATTTGTCAATTATTTGAAGTATTTTAACTTCTCTTATGATCTATGTATTACCTGTTTACAAGATAGTAGATAATATTGCTAGACAGTAAGCAAAGTCATGTAGCTGCCTCCTTTGTTTATAAATCCTGGAAAAAATTGGCATGCTGTAATGTTAAATCTGTTTACAACCTACTTGTTCATTCTCTTTTTTTCTTAAAAAAGAACACAACTATCTTTGTTTTGTAATGGGGTTGAAACAATAAGTTATAGGGAGTTAGTTGTTGTTCACTGTACTTACATTTCTCAAGTAGATAATCAGAAATGTAATGTACTTCTTACAGTCAGGTATAGACACCTCTTTTCCAAAGGCTTTTGAACCCTATTTTAATATAGCACATAATTCAGCCTTTCATGAAGTTTAATTTTGTATTTATTCTTACAGTGAAGTAATTTACACTTTATATTCAAACATGAAAATGATTTAGTTTTGCCTGGAGGATGTGGAAATATAGTCTATGAAGCTGTGAATGCCTTTGGGAATAATAATACTATTTATGCTGCAAATGTTTATCTTAACAAATCAGTATAGATGGAACATGGTTAGCTGCTGGAATAGTAAATAACATCGCTAATCATTTACTGATAACTGTAATAATTACATTGTAAAATGCTCTGAGGTTCCTTCCTGAGAGTCACAGTAGAAATACAAAGTACTCATTCATCAAGATTTGGTAACAACCCAAAATGTGGACTGTTCTTTTTATTTTCTTTCTATGGTAAGTGAAAACCCACTTACAGTAAAAGCTATCAAAAAAAGTAAGAAACACTTAAAAAGACCAAAAAATCTATTAATGTAGTGGTGTAAGACCATCATCCTGTTAAAATATTTGTTCTTATCTGTTCTCAGCATGTAGGTTGTGATAATATTTTGGGGTCTGATGCTAAGGAAGATAGATGCCGTGTTTGTGGAGGAGATGGGAGTACATGTGAAGCCATTGAAGGTTTCTTCAATGATTCATTGCCCAGAGGAGGTATGCCCATAGATGTCTATTCTGTTGCACAACACATTTAGCAAATAACAGTGCTGCACTGATTTCCAGCATGGCATTGCTACTGCTGATTCACTTTGAATACTTTTGTCTCGATGTTTCTTTTTTCTTTATTAGTTTGGATTTATGTAGAATACAATATGCTTCATTACTGAGTACTTAGTTCTCATGGTTTTTAATACATTTAAAAATAAGTGTAGATGGGGGTTTTTATTATCATTTAATTATGGTGGTATAATAAGAGTACTGTTATGTATGATTTTAATGTGTATGGTAGAAAATTATATTTAGTCATACATGACATTTTAGAATAGAAGGAATCCAGAAATGTCTCTATGTCTCTTAAGTCCATTTTACTAAGAATTTAGGAAATGTTTATGAGCAATTTGTTTAAAGCTTAGCTCTAAAAAGGACATTAGTGTTGCAATCAGTGTTACCAGTTTTGGGCTCCTGAATACAGGAAGAAGATTGATTCACTGGAGTGAGTTCAGTTCAGTGAGGGACCACTAAGATTATTGGGATCTGGACACTTGCCTCTCTCTGAGGAGAGGCTGAGAGTACTGGCCTTACTTAACCTGGAGAAGAGGAGGTTTGTGGGGACCTAGTGTGAGCCTTCCAATATCTATGGAGAAGACAGAGCCAGGCTCTTCATAGTAGTGGGTACTTGGTGGGAGAAGAGACAATGGCTGTAAATTGAAACAAGACAGGTGCTGACCAAATGGAAGGAAAAACCCAGGAGAGTAGTCCAGCTGTGGATCAGGTTACCCAGAAAGGTTGTACAGTATCTTTGGCATTGTTCATAACTCAGGAGGATAAAGCACTGAGTAAATTGGTCTGATCTCCTAGCTGAACTTGCTTGTAGCAGGAAGTTGGACTAAATAACTGTCTTGAGGCCCTGTCCAACCTGAATTATCCTGTGATCCTAAGGTCATTTTGTATGTTAATTACTTGTGATACACTGTTGAAAGGACTTCATTAGCACTTAAAAAAAGGAATTCCTGACTACATGGTAAATTTTTGCTATCGCTTTCAAACTTTTGTATGAAATTTGAAGAGTTTCCCTTTATATCACATGAAAGAAAATGTTCACCTAGATTTGAATCCCATATCTCATACTAATTTTTAGTAGTGAATAGTTTATTACTAGTTAATTTAATGAGTAATACTGATTATTGTAAACAACAACAAATAAAATTTACCTTTTGTCTTACAGGCTATATGGAAGTGATTCAAATTCCAAGAGGTTCTGTGCACATTGAAATAAGAGAAGTGGCAATGTCAAAGAACTACATTGGTAAGAGCATGGCTTAAATAGCAGACTGTTACTAAGTCAGAGTTTATGTTGCGATTTGAAGGTACATTTTCTGATTTGGCCAAACCATACACATAGTAGAAGCAGTAGATGGAATTGTTAGCTGCTAGTATTAGGTTGTGATCAGACAGTTGAAGCAGTTGGTTAGGATGTATTCTCTTGGATGAAGCTAATTAACTGCATCACGTGATTACTCCTTGTCTGCTCAGTGCAAAATCAGTTCAACTTCACTATAGTTATAGTGTCAGACTTTAGTTGAAGTAGATGAGTAACACTGAAATGATCTACTGTCCCACTCTGAGGTAGTGTCTTCCATCTCAGAAGTCTCTGTTCTTGGGATATTATACCATGTTAAAACACAGTTTTATTCTTCGAATGATTATTCATCAACTGCCATAGTTACTTAAATGCTCAACAATACCGTCTTCTTATTGTAAGGCAGTTTAACACATGAGTTCCACAGTGTTGCTGTGTTGCAGGGACTAGATGTCATCCCTGTTTTGTAGTTAAGGAAAATGAGGTGCATAAAAACTAAGTGCTTATTTGAGATCATTCAGGAAGCCCATTGTAAAGAACAAAACAAATTTCCAGATTATTATTCCTTTCTTTAAAGACTGTGTTAAACTTGCTTTCTGTTTTATTTTTTTTAACTGATATGTACAAATCTGACTTCATCAAACTCAAGGCAACATGCAGTTGTCTATGTACCTTGATTTGCATAGCAGTCAGTTCACAGTCATACAAGAAAACACATTTCTTAGTTAAAAATAGATTAGAGAACTGATTAATTGAACAGCAAACTATCAGATAGTACAGCAAACTAAACACAACCAAAAGCTATTACCTGTTTAGGCTGAACAGCAGCTGATGAGGCTACTTTAGTCAGTCTGTACTCCATATATTTCTTTTATATATTTATTTATTTATATATTTATTTATATATATATAAAAAACACATTATTATGTTGGAAAGGATTATGATGCCTGTGAGGTAAAAGGGCAATTATCCACCTAGGTACTTTAATTCCTAAATTGATTATATTGATGGATGGTACCTTTGGATGCCTACTTTGCTTTCTGGCTGCCCCCACCCTTCTGTAATACAGCAGATCATCAGTATTCCTCCATTCTGCAGGAATAACAATACCAGTACTCCAGCAATAGAGTGCGTATTATCCTTTCAGCATCACACTCCCTGTGGCCACCCCACCCCATGTCAAAATATCCTGTGGTTGTTCGTGTATCCTATACTGACATTTCAAACGGAGGTGGTGGGAGAGAGGCCTACAGTGCATCCTATCATGGTTGTTTTCTGATAAGAACTATTTTGTGGGCAGCTGAAAACCAGAATAAAGAAGATAACTCTTAGCTACTACAGTTAAGTTTGTTATTCCTCTATTTTATAAGGAGAGGAAATTCATCTGGAAAAGCATCTAGATTGGCACCATGTATATAAAATGAATGAAAAATATCAACTTTTTGGCTTAAATAAAAGATACAGGCATCTTCCTTGGTATTCAGTCTGGCCACAGATCTAAGAATGTAAAGTGGTACATAAACACTTGTGCTGGTTTAAGCCCTGCCGGGACCGGAGAGCACGTTGCCGTTGTTCCTCCCCCACCCTCAGCCGGTTGGGCTGGCAGTGAAGCACAAACCCGGGTTAAAATAAGAGGAAAATTAATACAACAGAGTGATAAAGCAATCTGAACAGCAGCAGTGGCAATGATAACAATAAACAGCAATAACAGTGAACAAGACAAAAGTTATACAGAGAAATACCGCAAAATGGTCACGGAACAAACCCGACGCGTGGGTCCCGCCACCAAAAAAAACCAAAAAGAAAGTAAAAAGTTTCCGCCCCTGGACCTGATGTCAGCATGGTATGAATAACCCAGCTGGAGATCACTTCCCCCTCCTTCTCTGCTGGGGAAACTTAACCCTATCCTAGTTGAACCAGGACAGCACTTCTTTTATCTGCTTGTCAGTTTCAAGGGGTTTCCTGAGTTTCAGGCTCTCTGCTCCCTAGCTTACTTCATGCCATGAAAGCCTTAACTTCACAAATTGAGGATTCCTCTCCTTCACTAGCTTATTTTGTTTCTACCTTCCAAAGATGCCATTATATCCTAATGAAGGATAATTTTACTAAGTCACATGGGCCATTTCATTTTGTGATGGAATGTTTGACTCTCTGTGTGTGAACCAGATCACTATTTTAGGTTCACCAATTTCTGGGAAAAGGAAGGCTTCTAATTTGTCTGCTTTTTAAAAAGAGCTATACAAGCACAATGGTGGTTAAAAATTAGTTTATTGTGTTAAAATGCATACATCAAGGGTATTTTGTTTTATGGATATTTCTTTAGCGGCAGTGTAAACTTTACAGCTTTTTTGCTGTCTTTATGGAGCTCCTTCTGTTCTTACAGGACAGCTGTTTGTGTGGCCACACCATGAACCAGATTAGAGAACTGATTCAGTTGAAAATAACCATTTAAAACTTTCAAACTAACTTGCAACAAACATCCCATGATTTCTTAAACTAAGATCCAGCTCTTTTGCAAGCCATGACCTGAAGTTGAGGCTGCAGTTGGACATTTGGCAATTCAGTTAACTCAGTCATCACCAGTCCTCCCTCCCGCTGCCTCTGGCTGATCATTTCTGCACCAATATTGCTCCTAGTGTTGTGACAGCAAAATCACATAAATAATTAAGTATTATAAACTGATCTGTCCATACAGATACAACCCAGCAACAACAGAATTGCCTGTTTTCAGAGCTGCTGAAAAAATGTGTCTAGTAATGCTGTTATCTTCCCTTAAATGACTTGTTCCAGAGTAACATCATCCCTTATATTCCCCTCCTGGAACAGGGAGTTGTGTGCTGATTTGCTGTGGGCTTCCTGTGTTCTCAAGTTCTCATAAATTGATTAGGACATTAATTGTTCCTTCTGTCTTATATGCTAATAGCATTATGCAACTGCGTCATCAGTGTCATTTAATTACATTATTGGAATGCTGTTCACAACTGTGTGGCATTCACCTATGTGTTACAACTGACATAAGGTAAATCTATTTACAGAACAGAAATTCATTTTTCTTTGACAGACAGGTGAAAAATGAACTGCTATGCTTCCGGATATACATTAGTTCAAGTGTATGTAGCATAGATACAACTGATAGCATATAATTTCAGGATTATTAATTATGTAAACATGTATGAGAATGTTTGTTCTCTTATGCTCATTTATATGTCTCATTTGTTATTCCTATGTCTCAAATAATACAAATAAAGAATTCATTTCATTATTTGCTCTCAGTAGATACTAGACATACTGACAAGAAAATGTTTGGGATTGAGTGGCATAGTAAGAGAGACTTTTAATATGTCTCAGTAGATTTGGGAAACCTTGCAACCTTCTTTTAATGAAACTAGATTTAGTAAAAGCAGGATGGATAGAAATTTTGAGTATGTGGAAATAGGACCACTGATAAAACAAAATACTGATGTTCAGCTGTAACATAGCTATTTCATATACCCACATAAAATAAATAGGAAAGTACAGTTCCTTTCTTTTGCTACAGTGCTGCTTGCAAATTGTCTTCTCACTTTTTCTACAATCTCCTCCTTATACTACAAAATAATTATACACAATAAAGCATCTGAATTACTTTGAGAATTCCAGATATGTGAATATGTCAGAACTAGTTTCTTCACTCAAAGCACATGAGCATTTCCAAAGTAAATCCAGGGAAGTCAATGGAATAAGATTTGTGCTGCGGAAAGACATTTCTTTTCAGACCTTATGGTGCTGACAGAAATGGTTACTAATCCCTGCTGAATATGGCTGTCACCAGCAGAACATTACTGCCTCTCCAACTATCTCCTGCTCATATGAATGCCTTTTGATCTGTTTGAGAAAATTTGAGTGTCATTGAGACATTTTCCATCACTGTTTAAGGTAAACCATCTGTCCACACAGATGAAGTTGAAAATAAAACTTGATCGTAAATTGTCTTATTCCTTATGATAGTGATGTGAGTTCTCTATGTCGTAAAGTCAGTTATTTGTCTGAATAGAAAATGACATGGCTGTTTGATCATGTATTTCAAACCATCATTTTGCATTTAAGAACATTTTTTGGTTAAAGTAAATGTGAATGCTGAATAACTTGCTAATGTTCACCTCAAGTCAAGAAGTCAATGTCTAATTAACAGAATATTCACCTGAAGGTACAAAGTCAGTTTCATATTTAGAAACTTAACCTAATATTATTGATAAAATATCAAATATAAATCCCTGAATAATACATGCTTGTCCGGCCTAATTGATTGGTTAGCTAAGAAATTTATGTTTTATCTAAATTATGGTTTAAGGCTTTGAATTAGGAATGATAAATTTTTTTTATCAGATTAAATAGCTAGTGTTTGGGGTTGTAGTGGAAATATCTTGGAATTATGCTTTAAGAAGGAAAAACACCCCAGTGGACAGAGGCAACAAAGCAAGAGCTGATTGGCAGCATACATCAGACTCAAAAGTTCCTTCTCTTTATAGAGATACCTATCCCATGCCCCAACTTCTTAATCCAACAGTAAGATTGGTAATTTATTATACATTTGAGACTTCCATGTATCTTAAGAACAACAGCATACTTTGCACACAGGTTCAGTTTTAAAGTTGAAGATGTATTGCAAGTTGCATGTGGCATTTCATTTTGTTCCAGATAGCATCTGCATGTTGAAATCTGCAAAATATACCTGCACATTCAAGATTATTGCAGACGCACTATTGTCAAACTGCATGAGGGATGTTTTGACCAGGGCTAAAGAAAAGGCTTTATATTGCTTGAAAAAAATAGTGATATTGAGCTGAAGCTCACATATTTCTAACAGATTAGTAGATTAATTTGCAATGGCTTCTCCATTATAAATGCTGCTTCCAATTTTTAGGTGGCTTGTATTTTTTTTTAAGCTTTAAAATCTGAAGAGGATGACTACTATATTAATGGTGCCTGGACTATTGACTGGCCAAGAAAGTTTGATGTTGCTGGAACAGCTTTCCATTACAAGAGGCCAACAGATGAACCAGAGTCTTTGGAAGCACTAGGCCCTACTTCAGAAAATCTCATAGTCATGGTAAAGTTATCATTAACATATTTCTGAAATTTGAAATACATATTTGTGTTCTGAGAAAAGACAAGGCCGTGAATAAAATCAAAACAGGTTGTGTTTTCAGAGCATACAGCTTTCCTAGCTGGGACTTTGCATTTAGGTTTTAACATAGCTTTTTTACCTTTCAAAACTGACTGGCAAACATTGTGATGAAACAGAGGTAAAGTCAGAAGAACCCCGGGAAATCTCTCAGAAAATGCCCCATCTCTGTTAAATGTGGTTCAGAACAATGGTAGGTGAAATCATAAATGAGATGTGTATTGTATCTCTGCATACTTATGATAAATGGAAGTGTTGAGCTGCAGCATGACAGTTCCTGACAGTTCTGTAGATGTCAGTGGTTTTAAGCCTGGCCTGAATGTGAAATGTATCTTTGCCACAGCAAGAGTATTGTGATTTGACCCATGTTAAAGTATCTTGCTATGACAGACATTGCTCTGAACAGATTGTACAAAATATGAGAATGTAACAGAAGATGTGACCAGGATCCTGTCTCTGAGAGCAGGCAGTGGTGAGCCTACTGTTGAGCCACTATATTGAAAAGTATAAGAACAAGGTGATACTTGTCCAGTATATTCTGTCAGCTGCCAGATCTGCAGTTCAGGGATTGTTTGAGCCAGATGGGGTATTTTTGTGTATAGAATGATGCCTGGATATTCACATTTTAGGCAGCATTTTCAAAACCTAGATCCTGGGGTTTTTTTCTGTAGGTGTGGATAACCTAGAGAGTCCACAGAGAATGAATTGCACAATGATGATAGTGCCTTTTCTCATTTGGTCAGTGCCACTGCCTTTCTCACTGAAAGTTCTCTGCCCTGTATCTAGTGTGGATGTGCAGATATGCTTCTGCAGAATATCAGAGAAGGTAGAAGGTAGTCAGATTGCTGCATCTAATGTGATATATGTTATTAGCAACAGAAAGAAAAGGTTTGATAGAGAGTCAGAGGCTAGTGCTGGGCAGGTGGCATGTGGAAGTGCAGAATGGTCTGTTGCTGTTACTATTATTCTAGTGACTAAAAGTGCCAGCAAGGGCAGAGCTAGGTTCATAACTGTTATATGGGTATCTTTCAATACAGATTTCCCTGACGACTGCTGCATGTTTTCACAGTAATGTCCTTAACCAACTTGGACCTCACATAACTATTCAGCTGTCAAGTTAATTTCTGTTAAGACATAATTTTATGAAAACCGGCTTTTTAGAATAATTATGTCAAAAATAAAGAACTTGCAGAAGTTGTAAAATTGCGTTAAGGGGGGAAAAAGGACAAAGCTCACCTTAGACAGTAATGCTTTTCTTTTTCTGTGTTTTAAGAGTTAGTCCAGATTCTTCTGGGAATACCTAAAAGAGCTACTATGGCTTCCTTTATTACTTTTTTCCCTTCCACAGGACATAACACATAGCTAGATTAAATGTCATTGTAGTTGCCCTCTGCTTGCCTGTTTTAATGGTATAACCAGTTGTTTTCAACTACAGATTCTGCTACAGGAGCAAAATTTGGGTATAAGGTATAAATTCAATGTTCCCATCTCTCGCACTGGCAGTGGAGACAATGAAGTTGGCTTTGCATGGAATCATCTGCCTTGGTCAGAATGTTCTGCCACTTGTGCTGGAGGTAAGACACCAGGCAGTCAAGCTACAGGTTAAACTGAATTGCAAGAGACACTTTACCACATAATTATCTAGGTAACTAATGGAAAACATTTCTTTCAGACATGCCTCAAACCTTGTTTTAGTGAAAGAACATTCATTTTATCACAGTGCATTTTGTTGTTTTCAAGTACATTTAATATGCTCAGATGTTTTTGGTAAATACAGTGTATCTTGGCACAGTGTGTCTCTCTCTGCTGATGCTTCTTCTCAGATTCTCTTGAAGCCGGTATGTTTGCTTTTCACAGGAGCTTTCTTGATAAAGGACATCAGAAGTTTTAAGTAAGGAGATTAAAAACCAGAAGGCAAATAAGGCAACTGTAAATAAAGGCATGTACCTTTGTGTGGTTTTAGGTATGCTTCACATGATCCTAGTCAGCCCTCCTATCCTCCAGCCACCAAAGTTTAGGATGCATACTGGTATCTCCTCTGTAGCAGATGATGACATCTGGATTATACTTCCTAGCTCATAGCAGTCTCTGAGAACTGTTGCCCGTTGGCAGCGGTGGGGGATTTGTAGGTTGTCCCATGTGATTCATCATGGGTGCCTTTTGCCCACAATTTACTATATTCCTAATCCTCCCTCTAGTGGCCACCAATGCAATTCTTTACCTCTGGCTGGGAGAGCAGGACAGTTGGCTTCCTTCAAAGCCAACACCATTGCTGCTGCAAGGACTGGTGAGTAGAAGTGCTCTGTGAAGAGTATCTTTCTTCTCTCTGGAGACTGAATGCATCATCTCCCCAACATACCTCTCTTTCAGAGGATATGGGAGAGCGCTTTAAATCTACCTCAGATTTTCAGACTTCAACTGCCGTGTGCACTACCCATAGGAAGAGGAAGACACCATCCTTTTTTAAAGAACTTTCAGAACAAATATTTGTCCTTTTTTTACTGGCTACTGGAGGTATTCATGTTTAGAACCATCATGATTCATCTCTGTGGTGGAACCTGCTGTGGATGTTGTAGTTTGCTGTTTAAATACAGCTGTTTGCTTAGTCATATGTAATACACAAAGGACAGTACAAATTGTCTTCTGAGCCACTAAATAGATAAAGTCTTGAAACAAAATAGAGGAGGGTGCTAACGTTCTCCAATAGTTTTATTGTTAATTGGTTGTATTCCTGGGTGACAGGTTCCTTTTTTAGCTACTGTTTTATTAATGGTGAGTCTGTTAGGAAAAGGAACATTTTAAAGAAGTATAAAAAGAAGTGCCTAGCTCATAGCAAAAGACAGTTAACAAGTATCAGAATCTTACAAGTACTGCCAAATCCTATTTTTATGATGTTGGTGATCTTTTCGAAGTCATGGGAAAGCTCACATTAATTTAGGTAGAGGCAAGATTTTAGCCATGTATCTTCTATTATGCAGGTCACTGTCATTTCACAAATTTGACAATATACAATGCAAGAAATATTTGGCTCTGAAGGGGTAGGCACTTGTCTAGATTAAAACATTTTGATGTAATTAACTCAGTTTTAAGGGAAGAGTTGTGAATCCCTGAAAACTGCATACATTTATTAATTTGAAACTTCTGGGGAGAAAAGATTTTCTTTGGTAGATTATGGTGGCTAAACCAGGAACAACTTTCTCCTTTCAGCTGAGTATGAGGATATACTATGGTCACTTACTTTCACTGAGCTCTGTGCTCAGGGAATAAATATTTTACTGTAGCTATAATTCATTTTAAAAACTTTTCCTGCTTTTTCCATATGAGTGTCTGCTATTCCCCTTAGTTTATGAAGCAGTTTTCGCCATATGCCAAAAGAAGACACAATTTGAAAAAGGAGCTGAGTCAGGGAAAAAGAAAAGGGAGACAAAGGTTTTAGGGATAGAGACTGTAACTGGACAGTTTGACTAACATAATTATGAAGTGCTGAGAAAACTTAGAAATGAAACTACCTCATGTCTTTGTTTATTTCTATAAGATTCATTACGATGTCTGATACTGAAGTTCTGTTTACTTGAATTCTGTCTTTAGAAAAAACATGCTCTACATCAAAGGATAATAAAATATTAAACAGATGAAGAATTTCTCAATGAGTGTTAAAAAAGGACCATAAGCATGTGTGAGGAATATTAGTATGGAAATTATTTTTTATTTATAAGGTTAAAAAAATTACATAGTGACTTTGGGACAGATTGAACAAGTTAAACTCATTGACATTTTCCTAGCTCTTATTGTGGTAGGTGTAGCTCACCTGTATTGCATGGTCTCGTGAAGGTTTGATCATACAATATTTTGTCTCAATCTGGGCAATCTCCAGATGACATAGAGCCACATATACTTTTATATCAAAGCACAGGATCTATATCAAAAATGTAGACAAATTCTAATCAATGTATTTAACTTATGTCCATTTCTGAACATGTCTGTATTTTAATGATACGTCTTTTCGTCTAGGTTTATGTAACATTTAAGAAGCTCTCTTAAAAGAACATCAAATTTGCAAGTATTTAGAAGCTGGAAAATGGCAGAAATAAGGATGATTATGAAATCTTAAATTGTTTTCTGTAGTTGTGGCTGTTCTGTGAAACAGGAACCAGTTGAGCAGGGACCATTTTCTGAGGCTGTGTCAACAGGCTACTCATGTCCATTCCATACTACTTAAGTCTAGTTCTCTCTAAATTAGACTATCTGTACCTGCATTATATACCATTTGATGAAGTCTGTGACTCTTAAAACATAGTTATTACTTGATGTATGTTTTCTAATTCAAAAAATCTAAAAAAATGAGAGCTGCATTGCAGCCCACCGAAATGATGCTTCTGTAATTGTTAACTTGAGATGTGTTGAATGTCATGAAGTAAAGCACAAAGGCTAGAGCAGCATTTTGACAGTGCAAAATTTAAATAGTTTTGAAGTATTATATATTGCACAAGCATCTGATCTGTATGTAGTCTCTTCTTCATAGTTTTTTTAGAGGAATCCACAGCACTCATCTAGAGCTGTCTATAGGTCTTGTCTTGGAGAAGAATAACTAGAGCAGTCAGGAGTCAAGGAGCAAGCTAGGAGCAACCACAGTCATTAATTAGATGGCAATGTGCTGTCTTTTCTGCTGGCCTTCTATATTATATTCATCTCTGCTGTGCTGGTGAGTCACATCTGAACAGTAAAAGTGCTTTAACTTTTCAGACAGGACCTCTTTTCTTGGGCCTGTCTCAATTTTGCAGAATAGGGAGCATGATAAAAGGAATGGTAGCAAGGAGAAGGGTTTCCTGCTTACAACAGCTTAATTTGGTGCCAGAACTCTGGGTTCCATTCCTGCCCCTCCTTGTGTGGTTCTCTTATGATACTGAGCAACTCAAAGCATACATTATACTTTTACTTGCTAATTATCAGTTCGTCATTATATTCATACCTCTCTGTAATGTCTGACCTCTGAAGCATGCAATGAATTTCATCATTGCATGAAATGTGTCTAAAGCAAAATATTCTGAAAACTCAGCCAGGCATCTGGAATCAATGGACTTGTTTCACAGTAGACATTATACCTCTTCTTCCCTGTATACTTCATAGAGTGGTCTAGGAGATAAATTAACATTTGTGAAACAAAGTTACATGTTTAGGTATCCTCTAAAAAGTAGAAGGAGGTTAGTCTCATTCGTGTTAAAGGAGTAGTGTCCTTCATGTTAATGAAGAAAGTAGTGTCATTCATGTTCAAGGAGAAAAGAACAAAATATTCCATAGTTTCTCTGCCAGTAAGCATCATGGTCTGTACAGTGAACCAAGGAGGAGGGAAGTCTTCAAAGTCTGAGGTTTATTCTTAAGTTTTTCTTAAAATAGGTTCTTCAGATTTACCAGGTAGCTAAAAAGGCTTGCCTGGTAACAGACAATCCAGATTTTTGGGGATTCATGTACTTATATGTAGAATGAAAATATAATTTCATTAATTTCTAATATCTCTTAATACCTCTTCTTAGGCTTGGAAATCCAGAGTTGCAGCTTTTCCTTTCTACACAAGAACCGATATTTTCTATACTGCAAAACTTTTCTTTAAAATCCAGATTTATAACATCTGAACTAGTTCCTCCTCTTTGGGAACATTTATGTAAAACTGAGCTACATATATTCTCCATATTAATTCCCTTTTTGTCCTGAAACTTCACTGATAACTGTTCTACTCTGGGTCAAGAGTTTTCAGAAGGGAAGTTTATTTTTATCTCATATAGGTCTTTATAGCTGGTGGCAGTCTTGGACAAGAGTACACGAAAACAATGCCAGAGAATACCAGAATGTACAGTGCAAGTTTGTCTATATAGAGAAGAGTGGGAGAGAAGAGAACACGGGAAATTCAGAAGGGATGGATGGGTGAACGCTGGAATTCAGAAAAAAATGATGACAACAGAAGACTTACTTCAAGTACCTGATTATTATTTAATGAGAAAGTCTGAGAAACAGAAAACTAGAATATGCAGTAATAGGAAGTGAAACAGTGAAATGAGGGTTGGAAAGATAAGAAGAAAGTGCTAAAGTAGGAAAGGGTGATACGTATTACAGATCACAGAATTGTAGTTTATTTACTCTCATGCCTGTCTTTCCTTATATGTTAATATTTTAGCTTTCCAAGTGCAAGTGTTCTTAATAAGGAATTGAACTGCTGATGGTATTGTTTAAAAACAACCAACAAAAGAAAAAAAAAATCCTGTATGTTTTTACTTCTGTATACATTTAAAAATAAACTCCAATAACTGCATACCCACCTTTTTAAAATTTCTTCCACACTTAATAAATTCTAGCAGTAAATGGCAACAAATCACAGTATTTATTATTTGGAATTTACCAGGTATCCTAAGCATTGGTTTTGATTTCATTCATTCTATTAGAGTTCATCTCCAGATGAGTTAGATATTTTAGATATTCATTGTTTTAATGAAATCGTCAGTCTACTATTATTAAGTAAATTGATTGCCATTCACTTTTCTTGCTGCTTGTCACTCTTGTAGAGTGGTACATGCTATGTTTT